TTCTTATGAACAATGAAAGATCCAAAGAGATGGCTCGGGCCATAAGTATTGATGGAGGTGACGGAAAAGAAGAACATGTTTCCTTGTTGCATTCCATTGCCGGAAACCTAATGCTCGCAACTAGACAGAATGCCGATGTTAGAGTTCTAGTGGGATACTTATGTGTTCTATGTATTTGGTTGTGGGATAGCCCTCAAAGTGTCAAAGAATTTTTGTCAGAAGGAACTCATCTTCAAATTGTATCTTTTTTACTTTAATTATTTAGCATCTGGTGTAATATTATTATAAACAGTATATCTTTCCTCAGCTTTTTTTGAAAACCTGTTTGCACAGCTTACTGCTCCGATAACTCAATCTTCTGGAGTGGACTCTAAAGTACAAGGATTGTGCGCATTTTTATTAGGAATTTGCTATGAATTTAATCATTCTACTGACTCACCGATAACGAGGTATGGCGAATTAAGTCGGGTTACCCTTGTGATCTGTCGGCGGATTTTGCAATTTAAACATTTGAGACTTTTTTTTTAGATCGACTCTTCGACCGATTTTGCTTAATCGCATTGGAGTGGATCAGTTTGTTAATCGTATTACGCGCTTGAGAGAAGCACCACAATTCAAGCATGTTTCTCAGTATCTTCAGGTATAAATTTTTTTATGAAATTTGATTATGAATATGTTACTGTTACTCCATATGGCGAATTCTCTGATAGATTCACCCGGATGAAGAAACTGGTCGAGTACTTCCTGAACTATATTTCGATTATTCATTCGTCGAGTTTTTCAAGAACAATTACGGTTGGTCTATCATAATACTATAGTTGTAATACATTTGTTTGATAATATATATATATATATAATAATTATCTTTGGTTGTAAATTTAGAAAAAATCCAGAAGTCTATTATATCCGATCCCAATGCTCCAAAATCATCTTTTATAGGAAGTATGTATACCATTTTGCTTTGATAATAATGTGATAATTTTATAACCTTTGATTGCGATATAGGTGGTGAAATGCAAGTTGACCATGATCAATTGGCTATAATTGCTTCTTATAAGAGTGTAATTCAAACACAAGAACAAGAGTTAAATGGATTGAAAGAAACCATAAGACAACTGGAAGAAGGAGTACGTTTGTTTGCATGCACAATTACGCGCGATCATACTTGGC